TGGCCCCGGGAAAAAACAGCAACAGATTTGCAGCCCAATTAGTTTTTCATTATTGCCTTGGTATACAATCATCAGCACTGAAGGGAGGATGAAAGGTGTAGGACTGACATTCTCGGCACATATCACACATCTGGGCTGTCAGACAGTGGGACCTCTGCACTGCTGGGGCCTCCAGCCAGCCCAGATTCCTGCTGCCACCGGGAGACAAGGAGCACCAGTGCCTGTGTTGTCTCCAGACCCTTCTCTCCTCCACGACTCCCAGGACAGACAGCACCACATAAATGTGACCCAGTCGAACTAGTCTAATTCCTACAATTCAGTCTAACCATAATTTTTGCCCACTGGATAAAACAGTTGTCTTGGTCTCTTGAAAGGGGAGCAAGTCCATTCTCCATTAAGTCGGGAACTGCAGTTTAGCAGCAATCTGAGGGCTCTTCAATAACAGAATCCTAAGCATCTGCATGGTTCTTTACAATCTCACTGTGATATCAAGGGGTCTTAGTGGGCATTATGCTTGCTGGTTTCCTCAGAGCACATGGGCTGGGTATGCATGCATTACTGCTACTACTTTACAGCTCATCAGAAGCTGCAATTAAATAAAATCTCTCAAAATCAGAAAATACACAGCATGAGTCAATGAATTTCTCAGATATAAAGAAGTGATTTAGGCACAGTAAACACTTTTGCTGCATTACTCCAGCCTCCTAAGAGGCATTTTATGTCACTTCATCTCAATTAACCTCCCAAGAAAACAATTCACCTCTAAACAAGAGAGAGGCGAAAAAGACATTACTGACAATACACAAAAGCCTACTCTGATGTCATAATGCTGCATTAATTGAGTCATAGGCAGATTTCCTGGAATTCAGGTTTGAAGCAGGAAAGCAGGAGATATAGACAGAAGAAGAGCTATGTGCTGAATCACAGGAGAAGTTATTTCTTATGTCAGTGAAGTTTATTACTGCTAAAAGTTAAGATTTCCCAACTGCACTGTAACACATTATTCAGCTTCAAAATGTTCCCCATCTCTCAATTTTGCACATAATGTAAATGTAAATGAATACTACAGTAATTCTAACTGTCTCATAGTATCTTTTGTCACAATATGCTTTTCTATCTCCTTACTTCCAGACAACTTAGTGTATACTCCTACCTGCAACTACCTGTTCTGACATTGTTGTTCCGGCACCACCTTTTCATAGCAGCACAGCCAGAAATAACCATCAGTATTTGCTACATTAATTTAAGACACTCTTTTCATTATGCTACACTGTATTCCACACAAGAAATGTATATCAAACCCTACCTCCTACCCCTCTCCCCAGGCTGCAGTCCCCATCAGAGCTGTGTGGGTCCCTCTAGTCCCATTGTCTAATGCTATCTGTAAACCTGGAGTTGTTTAAACGTTTCTATACCCTCTGTGCTTTTCACTCCTCTTCTGAATTTTAACATTCATTCTGAAGAAAAGATTGGTGTGGTGAGGAGAATTGTGAAGAGGTTATTGAAACCACAAATGCTCTGGAAGTATCCAACCAGGACAAGTGTACTGGTAGCCTTGGCACACCCTTTCCCCTACAGCTCTAGTGTTCCTCTCTGTGCTCTCCCTCCTTTACAGGGACCATCTACTGGGATCCAAACAATCCCACTCCTATTTCCTGGTGCTGCTCTATCAGCCTTCTCATATATTCTCCCAATTCCCTATCAGCTTTCCTCCTGTTGCCAGTCTTCTCTCTCCCATTCCAAGAATGGCTCTTCCCCTTCTCTCCAGTACTGGACTCTCTCTAAGCACCACACCGGGAGTTCAAGGATTGGCAGTACCAACCAGGGGGACTAGACATGGGCTAATGTTTCCACTGTCTACACGGACTATTGATGACTTCCAGCCTACACCAGGTCACTTAGAGAGCTCTAACATAGCATACAATACAGCCTAGGTACAAATATAACTCTATTTTTATTAGAAATAACTCATTAACTCCTAGAAAGAAGAAATATAAACTATATTGGAAAGAAAAACTTGTCTGCGTGGCATTTGACAAGAATCCCCTTAAACAAATAAAAGGAAGTCCACATGACCTGTGTCACAGAGCTGATGCAAATCTCAGGGGAACCTTTTGCACTTCTGACAACCAATCTCCTACCTTTTGAAACTATCCACAGTTGGTGACAATTTATTCTTTGGTCTCGATGTAAATCAAGTATAAATGGTTTTCCTCACACCCAAGGGTCACATGGTTTCCAAGTTTTAATGTTAATGATGTCTCAGCAGACTACAAAAGCAGGAGTGGGAGTTGCATTAACTCGTAAGAGAATACCACCAGCAGTAGAAAAGATGTTCTTACTACATCAAATTTTTCAGTGTAAAATTATACAGCAAAGTTTAACCATAGCTGATTTTAAAACAAGTTAAAAAGCACAGTTTTATAACATCATAATAAAAAGTTGAATTCAGATAATGCAGAATTTTCTCTAATTGTCAACAGATGAAATTCACTGTATTGGCAAGAACACCTCACTTGGCAAAGGCCACTTACATTGGATTTCATTGAGCATCAGTTGTACCCTTGAAGATTTTAATCTTGGAAAAAAAAATTCCTTTTAAAGCACTTGCACAACTCACTGGTATGATGGACACAATTCCCGCCCTCCCATTACCAACCTTCACTGGTTTTGTCACTGGGCTTCTGTGAGGGACTAGAGACAGTCTCATCCAGGTGGCTGTGCAATAACATGAGGAACAAATTCCTGCTCCTCCAAGAGCACCCAGTTAATACTGCTCAGTTAATCTGTATCTCCCCAAGATTTTATCTGTTTTCATGCACAGAGGATTTAATTAGTCTCCCGCTCTAAAAGCTATCCCCGTGTGTCACTTCAAAGACCCATCTATTACAGAACGGAATGACAAGAAGAATTACGAGTTCTCGTTATGAAGCACTTCGTGAGCAATTGAATTATCGAACTCTTAGCCCACATGAACTCTCCTTTCACCTGCTTCTTGTTGCTTCGAGAGCCCAAAGCGCCATCTCCTGCTGAGCGTCTGGAACCACAAATACCGATTTCGGCAGCCCGTGAACTGCTGCAGGGACAGCGATTCGCACAGTCAAACCCCTCTGGTTGGGTACCAGCAAACAAACAGGTTTTCTCACTGAACGGCTCGGTCTGTCACAGCTGCCAGAGCCGCTGCCCCTCGAGAGGAGCAGTCACAGGAACAGCTGGAGCACAGCTGCCCAGGGGCACGCACCAGGAACAGGACAAAGAGCATATTTTGCCCAGATTTCAGCATGCAGCCAAGTAGCACTCTGTGCATTTTTGCAGCAAGTTCCATATTTTGTATTGAGATCTCACCTCAAGCCTGTTGTCACAGTTTCTAGCAGGAATACAGCAGGTGACACCCAGTGGAAACGGAAGATAAACAGACCTTGATAAAATTACTTCATAGACCTCACACACACACAGATTTTTTTTTTTTAATCGCTCACTTTATTAATGTAAAACTAAACATCCTTAAATTAAAATCAGCACAGAATCATTTAGGTTGGAAAAGAGTTCGAAGATCATTGAGTTCAACCAATGGATCGATACAATTATCATACAAATATAAAATACAAAGCTCAGGAGCATAGAACACTAACAGCTGATCCCCAGAATTAGAGAACGTAACAGAGACTGTAAGGACAACCAAAATTTATCACCATGTAGCTGTAAAATTAAGTACCTTATTAGAAATTGCTAGCCATAGAATTTATGTATTGTAGACTAAGCATTTTAAAAGGAGAGTGTTAGCAATAGAACTCATGTATTTTAGTAAGGTTGGAAGTTCTCAAGGGAAAGTGAGCAATAAAAGAAGTAATTTTGAAGGGCGGTTTCATGCTACAGAATGTTTATGGCCTTTACCCTCAGAGAAAATAAAAAACCCAAAAAATGTAACCTGCAAATGGCATAAAAAAATTAATTTTCACACTGTTGTTCCTTTATTTCTGTTTTAAAACTGAGAGTTAAAGCTGACATTCTGATCCTGGGATGAGCACACAGGTGTAGTATTACTTTTCTGGAAAGCTTAAAAAGTTGTGGAGCACAATCATCCCAAAGCAAGAACTTCGATTTCTGCACTGTTAGAGCCAAACACTATAATAAAGATACATATTATTAAAGTAATCGTACACTGAAAAGTAACTCCAGTGAACTTTGTAGGGCATCACAGGAGAAGTCCAACAGGAAAATAATTACTTATTACTCCGTATCTTTGCTATGGTGTGTGGCTCTAACAGTACAGCAATTGAAGTCATTGAGGGGCAAACGAAGAAGAAAATACCGCGTTAAAAGTACAGGATCGAGAGACCCCCATTAGGACTGATTCTACTTAATGCTTTTAAATTATGATTTTCAGCACGGGAAGCTGCACGATGTGAGGGAAAAATCTGGAGCTGAACCTGCCAGGGCCGGTGTGCCCCGGTCCCGGGAGGGCTGAGACCCACTAATAGTCCTCGCACAGTGTCTGTGTGCCCCTGAAGACCAAATGCTACCGCTCACGTGGATTTTTTTTTTTTTTTTTTTTTTTTTTTTTTTTTTTTTTTTTTTTTTTTTTTTTTTTTTTTTTTTTAGACCTAAGATGCCTAATTTTCCTGTGAAATGACGGGCAAATTGAAGGTGAAAAAGCCGCCGTCTTGTGAGCCCCAGCTTGCAGTGGGGCGGGCTGGTTAGCGATGTGCGTTTTGAAATGGGTTTTAAAGAAACGGCTTTTGCTGCGAGTAGAATTTATGCTTTCATAAAGGTCCTAAAACCCGGCGGGAGTTTTAAGAAACTCACGTGACTTCCCCTAGAAAGCAAAAGGAGTTCACGCTGCCTCCTCCACACATTACTGAAGTAGTAAATCTCTAATAAAAGGGTTCACGGGAGGAAACGCAGGTACTTTAATATTATTAGTCTCTCTCTACCCGCGTTTCCTGACACAAAACCGTGCCTGACAGCCCGCCCTCAGCGCCGAGACCCCGCCCTCAGCGCCCGCACCGGAGACCCCGCAGCAATGGCGGCGGCGGTGGCCATGGCGCCCGGCGGCGGCAGCAGCGGCGGAGACTTCTCGGACCTGCGGGAGATCAAGAAGCAGCTGCTGAGCGTGGCCGAGCGGAGCCGCGAGCGGGGCCTGCAGCACAGCGGGAAATGGTGAGCGGGACCGGGCACGGCGGGGAGCGGGGAGCGGGGAGCGGGGCCTGGCCGGGCGCGGCGGGCCCGGCGCCAGCGTGTTGGTGAGAGGCGGCTGAGCGAGCCGGGGTGGTTCAGCCTCGAGGAGGCTCAAGGGGGGGCTCATCGCTCTCTACATCCCCCTCACAGGAGGTTGCGGTGCGGTGGGGCCTTGTCTCTCCCGCAGTGAGAGGACCAGGGGAAATGGGCCTTGGGCTGAGGCAGGGGAGATTCAGTGAGATGTTGGGCGGTCGGGCATTGGAATAGGTTGCCCAGGGAGGTGGTGGTGGAGTCACCGGCCCTTGGAGGTGTTCAGGAGGCGTCTGGATCTCGCCCTGGGTGATGTTTAGTGGTTTAGGGCGTTCCAGGGGCAGTGCTGGGCTTGGACTTGACGGCCTTAAAGGATCTCCTGCGCCCCTGAGGATGCTTCGATTGTAAGAGTCTGTGTCCCGCAGGGCCGCCGAGCTGGCGTTCGCGCTGGAGCCGCTGCCGCTGAGCGAGCTGCCGCCGCCGCCCGCGCTCACCGAGGTACGGCCGGGGGCGGGCTGCGAGCCCCGGGGAAGGCGCTTCGGCTGCTTCATCCCAGCTCCTGCGGGAAAAAATGCGATCCCGACGTCCCCTCGCAAAGCCCGCGGGCGGGAGGCCGGAACGCTGGGGAGCTTCCCTTTCCGTTGCGTGTTCGGTGGGGCGGCAGAGCTCAGTGTGCTTTCCCAGATGAAAGCGTTCTCTGCTGCCGTGTCCTGAATGAAGTATTCCGAAAGCAAAATTATTCCTCTTTACTGAGGTAAAAATTTACTCTAATACAAATTATGTTACGCCTCTAAACTTGTGCTCCTTAGGGCACAAGAGAACCAAGTTGTGTGTCTCTGTCCCCACCTCTGAAGGTGTAGGGTAGGACTCAGGTGTGTGCCTGTGCCCATAAATTGCACAAGTGTCACTCACGTGTCATAAATGCATGTCAAGGTATAGTTACCAAGGAAATGTTCTTGTGTATATTAGCAGGTTCATTTTCTTTGATATGGAATCCCTGAGCAGGTTTCTTGCTTGTGGTCGTTTGTACTTACTGGGCAGCTAATTCCTGCCTTCTGGCAGCTTGCACAATTTGTTTCTGGAATTTCCCTGTTTATTTTAAATGTTCCTGGCTAATCTGTACTTGTTATTTGAAAACTCCAGAATCTAATCATGTGAGGGAGCAGAGATACTTTTCTGATAGTACTCAAACCATCTTTGAGGGCAAATAAACTAGTTTTAGCTTTTGCAGTAATTTCATTGATGTGTTTGTAACTGTGATTTTCCTAAAGTATGTTGGAGTTCTCAGGTCTTAAAACTCCCGTGTGTCCCTGCAGGAGGATGCTCGTGACCTGGATGCCTACACACTGGCCAAGTCTTACTTTGATCTGAAGGAATATGACAGGGCTGCCTACTTTTTACGGGGCTGCAAGAGCCAGAAAGCTTACTTCTTGTACATGTACTCCAGATACCTGGTAAGGGAAAGGAAAAAGTTGCATTTTAGCACTGAACTCCTCTGCTTCTCACCCCTACCCATCTTATTTTTTGCCTAATCTGTTCCAAATGACCACCTTGAGGTCCAAATTCTGTGTTGGGGGAGAGGAAGATAGGACTGTTCTTTGCAGGACTGTAATGTTTGTGAAAGCTCAGTTTACATGCTGCTGAAAGCACTGCAGCAAACATAGGGAATATGCTATTGTAATCTTGGATTTCCTCTCTATTCCACAGTCAGGGGAAAAGAAGAAGGATGATGAGACAGTGGATAGTTTGGGTAAGTCTCTGGTGTCAAGAAATAGAAGACAATATAACAAAACTCTCACTATTGTCTCTTCAAGTAAATCATCTTGGGTGTATGGCTTTCCCCTCAATTTTTTGGATAATAGTGCGCTGTAACATGATTTCTTTCATTCTCTTTCAATTCATTGGCTGATTACAGCTTACAGATTTTCATCTCTTAGGTCTTCTGTTAAAGTAGGTGACCAGACTAAGTGATTTTCTTTAAAATAAGGAAAATATTCACAGGCTGGGAAACTTTCATGTCGTATCAGTGATGACTGTGAATGTACCCCAGACTTCGCAGTTGCTGTGGTGAGACTCCTGATTGAAAGCTCACTGTGTGACTTTCTCTTCATGCAGGACCTCTGGAAAAAGGACAGGTGAAAAATGAAGCTCTGCGAGAACTGAGAGTTGAGCTCAGCAAGAAGCACAAGGCACGGGAACTGGATGGATTTGGCCTTTATCTGTAAGTGTCTGCATGGCTTTTTTATATATTTGTGTGCATATGCAGAGTTTTATGATTGTGATTAAGCTGATAAGTCTTTTTACAGGTATGGTGTCGTGCTGCGGAAGCTGGACCTGGTGAAAGAAGCAATAGATGTATTTGTTGAAGCTGCTCATGTCTTGCCTTTGCACTGGGGAGCCTGGCTGGAACTTTGCAACTTGATTACAGATAAAGAGATGGTAAAACTTGAGAGATACCAAGATGTGTTAACAAATTCCAGAGTTTAGCCTGATTAAGTAACCAGTGATCTTGTTGCCACAAGATTGATGTTGCCCACTGCTTTATTCTATCAGGCAAAGCAATCCAAGACTAAATCATGTTTTTAAAGCCCCTTTTTCTTCAATTGCTTGCCATACTGTAGTTTGAGAATCTTTATAAAGGCAGGGCTAATTTCTTTTCATTCACCCCAAAGTCGTTTAAGAAATGTCTAATTCATGTATTCTGGAATAGTTGTCACCAGGGTTATCACCTTGTCCCATGAAGGAGATCCTCCTAAGACTTCCTTTTTCTAAAGCTGAGAAACTATTGTACACAAAGCCACACATATGAGGTGAATGGTGTCAAAGAACCAAACTTAGATATAAAAGAAAAATAGATTGTTTTTTGTTCTGCCTGGAATTTATGAGTCCACTGCTGGAAGTCTTCAGTAAATTCTGGCTGATGAAGTATTTAAAACAGTACAGGTGACACAGAGTAGAACCTTACCGATTTGTGGAAGAGGGGAAGTTCATTTTTTATGAGCTCATTTGGAGTCTGTTCACTTAGTTCCTTGAAAACAGTGATATGATATTGATGTCAAACATAGGAAGAAAGTGCAATCTTTCGAAGGACTTCTGATTTTAACGGAGGAATGAGGTTAGTGGCTGAAGCAAGAGCCAGGTGTTATCAGATTTGACAATATCTTCACCAACTGACCAAATGATTTCATTTTATCTGCAATTTCAACAGTCATGGGAATAGATTGGGAGTAACTAAGTAGAATGACATGGTCCGTATTGTACCGCTTTTTTAGACAGATTGTCTTAGTGCTGCTTTGCTGTTTCAATACTCAGTTTATAGGCATTATTTAGTCTGTCCTGCAGAGGAACCTGATAGTAATTCTTGGTCCTATACTGCTCTTTTGTAGCTGGTCTTATGGTTTAAAAAAGCAATTGCAGGAAAGCCTCCTACCTTGAGATCATCTGCTAAATCATGGGAGGGAAGATAATGGATTCTTTGCCACAGGTGGCTTGTAGAATGCTACTGATTGTCATCTCTTCCTCTTCTTTGGTTCTTGCTAGTTGAAGTTCCTGTCCTTGCCAGATACATGGATGAAAGAGTTCTTTCTTGCACACATTTATACAGAGCTGCAGCTGATAGAGGAGGCCCTGCAGAAGTATCAGAGCCTCATTGATGCAGGATTTTCCAAGAGCACTTACATCATCTCTCAGATTGCAGTTGCCTACCACAATATTCGAGGTCAGTGACACTAACTAGTAGGAATGAGCCCCTTAATGCAAACTTGGCGTTTATAGTTCTTGGTGTCCCATCTGCTGTTCTTTCTTCAGATATTGACAAAGCCTTGTCCATCTTTAATGAGCTAAGGAAACAAGATCCTTACAGGATAGAAAACATGGACACTTTCTCCAACTTGCTCTACGTAAGGGTAAGCACTCTTTCCGTGGCCTGTCCATACTTGTGGTGTTTGTCAGAGGTTTGTTAAACACTGGCAATGCAGCTGGTGCTGTCTGGCCTCTCTGAATGCAGCTTCCTGCTTCCCAACTCCATAGAACAGATGTGTGCATTGCTGACTGCCTAGATTTTCTGTGAAAACCTAACGTGCTCTCTTTCTCATTTCTTTAATTTCTTTGTTTCACTAGAGCATGAAGCCTGAGCTGAGCTACCTGGCTCATAATCTCTGTGAGATAGACAAGTACCGTGTTGAGACCTGCTGCGTCATTGGTGAGAGCCAGCTCTTTTACATGTTCTTACTTTGCTGTCTGCAGGCTGTGCAAGGAAACACTTGTGAAAGTCATCAGCCAGCAAGGCTGTCCATACCATTTGGTCAGTGTGGATTCAGGCAGCCTGAAAAGCAGACTGAATGACAGAATACCCTTTTCCCTTGTTTCTACCAGTGCAGGAAGGAGACCTATGTACCTGAAAATCTCTTTATAGTCTTCAGACTACAATGGAAATAATTGTGTGTCAGCACCAGGAAATTAATTTGTTAGATCATGACATTCCAAGGGGATGGAATCTTGCATTAAATGGTACAACTGGAAAAGGATTGACCAGAACACTGGATAACAGAGTGCTATTAGGTCTCTTGAGGTCTGAATTTTATCTGCCTTTAATAGGACTCTTTTCTTTTTACGATTTAAGTTAGGAGGTGGTAGATGATACCTGTTACATCCTTTTTTCTACTTTTCTATTGGTGTTGGGGTTTTTTTTGTTGTTTGTTTGTGGATTTTTAAAATTTATTTAAATATTTTGACTTTTGCTTTAGGTAATTATTATAGCTTACGTTCCCAGCATGAAAAAGCAGCACTCTATTTCCAGAGGGCCTTGAAACTGAATCCTCGTTATCTGGGAGCCTGGACACTTATGGGACACGAGTATATGGAAATGAAGAATACATCTGCAGCCATCCAGGCTTACAGGTATCACTCACGTACTGCACAAAATGGTCTTTGTGTCTGTAATGGTACCTTCTATTTTTTGTTAGTGGTTTGCTGAACTTGATGGCTTTCTGACTAGTTCATCTCCTTTTCTTTGACAGACATGCAATAGAGGTGAACAAAAGGGACTACAGAGCGTGGTATGGCTTGGGGCAAACCTATGAAATCCTCAAGATGCCATTTTATTGTCTCTACTACTACAGACGGGCCCACCAGCTCAGGTAGAGTTGAGAATGGAGCCGTGTTTATCGGTCTTCATTCTGACATACTTGCTACTGGCTGAGGAATTACATACAGGAAGTAAGTTGAGGAAGGAGAAAAACAATCAATATTTTATGATTTATGCAGTCTCACTGTTCCTAGTCCTTTTAGTTGTGTTAGTTAACTGTTAAAACTTTGTCAGTTAAATGCTGAGGAACACTGATCAGGAGTATGAATGATGCTTTATGCAAGAGAGTAACATCCAGAATCATCCAGATTCTGCCAGCTGTGGATTATTTTTTTTTCCTCTGAGTCCCCCCCACCTCACCCTGAGATCAATTGGCTGTCCATTAAACTACATTAAGGAATTGCTCTTTGTTGTGACCCGCCCCAGGAAAAGGTGGGGGATAACCCAGGTTCTTATTAATAAATTCTTGATCTGTTGGGGCTGGGGGAGGGAAGGCCACACACTCAGAGAAGTTGTGAGTTATTATATACTTCCAGCTCAGGTGGGAATGCCCTGTACCTCCCCGGGGTGGGAAGTTTTTCCATGGATAGTGTCACGGGCCATGCCACAAGCCCCCAACGTCTCCACGCAGAGTTCACATGAAGGGCATGGCAAAAACGGCTCTTCCCACCTTTCAGGACTCTACCCCTTGGCAGCACTGGAGGGAGGGGAATGGGACCTGCTGGGTGAGCAGCCCCCTCTTCTCAGAGTGCAAAATTTCCCCTGGCGATCCTAGAATGTGTAAACCATTAACCATTTCAGTTTTTTGCTCTTTTACAGACCAAATGATTCTCGTATGCTGGTTGCTCTAGGAGAATGCTATGAGAAACTCAATCAGTTGGTGGAAGCTAAAAAGGTGAGAACTCATGTATGAGACTTTAAGGTGTCTCCCAGGACAGTGATTGGAATCACAGCAAAATTGTGGAGCTACCCAAACTGCAGACAGCTGGAATTGATTCCTGTGGCAGTTACAACTTCTGCAATGTAATTAGAGCAGCTGATAAATAAGGAGTTGTTGACAGATACCTGCCCCTTTTGCTGACAAACCCTGTAGTTTTCTGTTGTTGATTTCTGTGCTGGGGTCCTTTTTTGCCCTACTTGACTGACTTTCCTTCCTTGACAGTGCTATTGGAGGGCTTATGCTGTGGGAGATGTGGAGAAGATGGCACTTGTGAAACTTTCCAAGTGAGTATGTACTGTCACTGACCCGTCAGGGTTGTGCAAAATGCGTCACACTTTGATACCTAATGGTACAATACTGAATGTAAATGAGTGGAATTGCTGTTAGGTAGTATTACTTTTGGAGCTGTGTAAGAGCTGGTGTCTTTAGATCTGTAGTGACTGCAAATTCTGGAGTCCAACTTTAGCTTTAAGTTTCCATCAGGATAACTAGAGGGAATGATAGCATAATGCGGGTTGCCAGGCACCTCTGAATCCTGAGGTGATTTGAGCAGGCAGTGCTAGCAATTGCATTTGTTGTATTGCAGCTTAAAAGCAATCCATGATGGTAGATGATGTACAAAATTGTAGCTTGATTGATTTTATTTTTCCTCTCTAGTATATGACTGTGACACTGAGAGAGGGTCTAATGTGAAATAAATATGAATACTGTGACATCAGTACTAATTTTTTTAGTGGGGATAAAGTAATATAAAGTGGGAAATATATATATATATAAAAAATATAAACATAGATATATAATATATATTATATAAATATAAAATAAAGGGGGAAAAGTGATTGGGAAAAAAAAGGGCAAGTGAAAGGTGAAGGTGCTGTACAAATTTGGGATGTAGCAGGGGAAGAAGGAGCACTGGAGGAAATAGCATGTAAATAGAATGGTGAAGGTCTGACAAAAGCTTTAAAATGTAACAAAATAAGCAAAGGTCCCTGCTTTGGTTGTCACTGTTTTGGGCAGTCAGTATTTGACTGCCTCCCTGCCTGCCAGCCTGAATGTTCTCAAGCTGGATCATCTCTTTCCATGAAGGGCAGTACATGGTGCATGTCCTGCAAATTCTGAAGGAAAGGACCTCGCTTTAGTCCAGGTCAGGTTGAGCAGGTACTTTCTTATAGACCAAGAAGGTCTTCAATAGTTCAGGCTTGTTCCAGTGACCCACTTTTCTCCTTTTCTAGGCTGCACGAACAGCTGAATGAATCTGAACAGGCAGCTCAGTGCTACATCAAATACATCCAGGATATCTATTCCTGTGGGGTAAGAGGATAACTTGGGAATAAAAGGAGAAGTAAACATGGTGTAGAACTATCTTGCAAGGCACTTACAGAAGGTGTTTTTTACCCTCCTCACTGTAGGAGATAGTGGAGCACCTGGAGGTCAGCACTGCATTCCGTTACCTGGCCCAGTACTACTTCAAGTGTAAGCTCTGGGATGAAGCCTCAGCATGTGCTCAGAAATGCTGTGCCTTCAATGATGTGAGTAGCTGCACAGTCTGTGGTGCTTCTTGCTTAAGGGATCTATGACCTTGATCTTGGACCCCCTCAGAGTCCTTTATGAGGGAGTGAGGGCTGTCTGCCATGCAGGTCACATCCTGAGTGGTGGTGGTGGTGGTGTACACCTGATAACTAATGCTGCTTATTTGATTGATAAAAGTCACAGAATGTGGTGTAGATAGTGAAATTGAACCCTATCTCGTTGGTGTTAACTAAAAGAATTTGAGGCTCCACATGGCAGTCTTAAGGCTGCTGAAAGTCTTGGTGGTGAGAAGGTAGTTAACTGGTCACAAACTCCCACACACTGTGTAGTGATGGCACTCATAAAACTTCTTTTATCTCATCTTCTGTGTAGATAGTGCAGAGGATCTAACAGTGCTTGGTTTTTGTGTGCAGCTCCGTATCCTGTGATATTCTGTATCTGTAAGTGGGCAGTTTGGGATTTTTAAGTCCAGCCATGAGTGCAAGGTGTTTGACCTATCCTTAACAAAGCTGCCTGGAGCTCTGGAAAACCTGAATTCAGCATATTTGAAGCTTTTCCAATCTACTTTTTGCTGTAATGCTTCAGTTGTTGATTGTTCTGCTCTCTGAAATACCCAAGAAATGTGCCACTCAGGGGAGTAAAAGGAGGAAGGACTAAACCAAAAGAAGTCACATACCTAAATGTTTTAAGGAGCAGAAGAAAAAAGAAATGAGGATGGTTTTTATAGCTTGTAGCCTTGCAGAATGACAAACTACTCTAACTTACACTGTTTACATACTGAATTTGACCCAGAAACCACCCATTCATTTTGTTTTCTACAAATGAATTTCAGACTAGAGAAGAGGGAAAGGCCCTGCTGCGGCAGATCTTACAGCTTCGCAACCAAGGAGAAACATCATCCACAGATGTTCCCGCTCCCTTATTCCTCCCTGCGTCACTGTCAGCCAACAACACTCCCACACGTCGTGTCTCCCCGCTCAATCTGTCCTCTGTGACACCATGAACATGAACAGTGCTGATACCTCTGGCCTGTGCACTGGATGTGACATTGCGGATGGGACGCGTAACCACTTCTTTCTAGGGAAACTCCACCTTTGGTTGCTGCCCTCCCATGAAGGGCAGCAGTTAGCTGAGCCCACAGCTGCAGACAGATGTGCCCCAACGGGCAAAGGGGCAGCCAATGTGAAAGTGCCTGTGCCGAGAATGTGAGAATCTGCTCCGCTTCTCGCCACGTCATTCCAGTTAGAGGGGCAGATGTGTGCCAGTACACAGGGCTGCTAACTGAGGCGTGGGAAAGAGGTTGTCTGCTGAAGTTCAAGTACATTTGAAGATTGATTCTGCCCTGTGACCTCTGGTCTTAACTGCATTTCTTTGGGTGACCTCTTAGTGACATCACTGATGTCCTCATCAGAGACTGTTACCTGCTTGGCTACTTAATGGCTTTGGCTTGTCTTGAACAACATGGGAGATGTTTCACTAAAGCAATAGAATAGGCACTTGTATAGGTGCCATGTCTGTGTTGAAGGATTGACAAGTATCAGAGGAGTCCCAAGTAGCCGCAGGTGACAGCTGTCTGGTGTTCTGTCAGTGGATCTGACAGATAATGTTTTGGCTTTCAGTAGAAAAGCAGCGAGCGTGATGGTACAATTAAAAAACTAACGATGGGCTTCTTTAATGGTGCTGCTTTCATGTGTACTGTAGCAAATGGAATTGGAGGAACCACAGTGGATCATTTTGTTGAGGCGAAAAGATAATTATGCCTTTGTTTCAGAGTTGGTGTTCTTGTTCACCCCTATAAATTTATTATAGCCTTGTCCCTATGGCTGTGGTGTGATTTTAATCCAGGACAAAGCATTTTTAAAGCCCTTTGCCACTGACCTGCAGCTTCCTGCGCTTGGTGAGACCACGTGTAGAGGTCGGTACACCAGGAAACCTGTGGGTCACCCTGGGCCCTCTCTATGATGCACGTGCGTGGAGCAGAGGGATCCCATATCCTGGGTTCTGGGCACCCCTAGAAATTATTGCTCCATAGCACCCACTGAACCAGCATTTCTACAGCAGATGGTTTTAAACAGAACAATTGGATCTTGATGTATTTTGCTAGCACTCTCCTCATTATTCCATGCAAACCTGAGGATATGAATGAGACCATTTGTAAAATTACTGATATTGAGGGCAAATTGTGCCTGATGAACTTGGTGGCCTTCCACAATGGGGTTAATGCGTCGGAGGGGGATAAGGGAAGAGTGACTGATGTCATTTACCTGGACCTGATACTGACTTGAACAGTGTCCTTGGCTCTATGCTGGAGAGACATGGATGCGATGGGTGGGTATGGAATTAGCTGGGTGGTCGCATTCCATCGGCTCGCTGTCCAAGGGGAGACTGGTGACGAGGGGTGTCTCTGGGTGGTCGCAAGGCCTGGGGCGAGCTCCGGCTGTGCCCCGAGGGCTGCGGACTCTTCGTGTATCCCCGGCTGTGGCCCGAGGGCTGCGGCCCCTGGGCGGGCGGGCAGCGCCGGCGGTGCCGGGGCGCTCCGGGCCGGTCCGTGCCGCGCTCCCCGCGCAGCTGCGGCGGGGCGGGCGGGGCTGCCGCATCCCCGGCCCGGCAGCGCAGCCTCGGCCGCGGGGCGGCGGCGGGGCGGGCGCCCGCCCTCAGCGCCGGCGCGCAGGAGGCGGCGGGGCCGGTGCGGGCGCTGGAGCCGCCGCGGCGGCGGGAAGATGGATGCGCCGCGCTCGTCCCTCGCCGCTCGGCATCCTCCCCTGGCCGCGGCACGGTGAGCGGCGGCGGTCGAGGAGGGTCGCCCGGTGCCCGCGGCGGCGGAACAATGACCGGGCGGCTGCGGGGGGGCCGGGGCGGCGGCGCGGCGGGGGAGAGGCAGCGATGGAGGTGATGGAGAGGAGGGGAGGGGAGCGGAGCGGGAGCCGGCGCTGGTGATGGAGAGGCGATGGCGGGAGAGGCGTGGCAGGCGCAGCCCGCAGCCGCCCGCCGGCCCCGCACCATTGTGCGCCCGCCGGTCATTGTCCGCACGGTGCGGGCGCGGCGCGCTGGGCGCGGCGGCTGCTGCAGGGGAGGGAAGGGATGCTCCGGGGCCGGGGGCGATCGGCGGAGCCCGGGATGCTCCGGGGCCGATCGGGCTGGGCCTCGGCGGGGTAGCCCGAAGCGGAGCGGGGCCGGCGCGGCCCTGCGGGCTCTCCCCGCGCTCGTTCGCACTCGCGGAGCATCCGTGGCCGCCCCGCCGCTCGCACGGCCGCGCACAGGGCTCCCTGCCCAGCGGGATGCTCGGAATGGCACCTGTGCGTGTCCTGCGCTGTCAGGGCTGCCGCGTGTGTGTGAAGACATTCTGTTCTCCCTTGCAAACACGGACCCCGCAGGATGCATCTCTTTGTACGTGCAATGCCTTTTTCACAGCCGTTGATAGATGAAACCTGCCTCTCGGGCTGGTGTGCAGTTTATGCTGAAATTGCCAGATTGCCATCCCTCAGTTTCATTATGGCTACTCAAGTCTGATCTAGATCCTGCATTTTTGCTACGTTATTGCACTGAATACTCATTTGTTGACCGTTTCTTGGTTTTGCTGGGAATGCAAATATATAAAAGGTGCTTATCAGACCTTATAGGTTGGGAACACAGAGAATTACATATTTTAGAAGTTTAATTTCAACTCTTGTAAGGAAAAAAAACGAACTAGGTGTATTATTTAAGACATTTGCATTCTGATGCTGTCCAGTGCATCACTGTAAGGTGACACGTTGGACTCCCATTCTCAGTGTCTCTGATTTGCTGGGTCAGATTCTGCAGTAGTGCAGTTATCATGCCTGGTCGAGCCATCTGGGTAGCCCATCAGGAGAATGTTTTGTCCCTTTTCAGACAATAATGGGGGGTTTATTGCATCTGCTCTGACTCAGGTTTTGTTTCTATTGATCTGGCCTGCTGGTCTGCACAGGAATTTCAAACCCAGGCCTGCTGGACTGTAAATGCTGCCTCTGCTGGCACTTGACCCGGTTCAAATGGGTGCTTCGGTGAGGTAAATACCCAGTGATTCTGACATTCTCCAGGAATGGCTACACTCTTGGTGAAATCTGGGAGTGGTGATATGATCATTGTTGAAGAGGGCACAGGACACAAGTGCTCTATCAGTAGTTCTGTGTTGATCAAAAGACACCATGGGCTCCTTGATACAAGAAGGACATCAGACTATTAGAGGGTGTCCAGAGCAGGGCAACCAAGATGGTGAAAGGTCTGGAGGACGAGGCTTAGGAGGAGCAGCTGAGGTCACTTGCTTTGTTCAGCTTGGAGAAGAGATGGGTGAGGGGTGAACCCATTCGCAGCTTCCTCAAGGGGGTCAGCAGAGGGGGAGCTGTGGGTCTCCTCTCTCCTGTGACCAGCCATAGGACACAAGGAAATGGAATGAAGCTGCATCAGGGGAGGTTCAGATTGGACAGTAGGAAAAGCTGATTCACCGAGGGTGATTGGGCACTGGAACAAACTCCCCAGGGAAGTGGTCAGGGCACTAAACCTGTCAGAGTTTAAGGAGTGTCTGGTTGATGCTCTTAGGCATGTGGTTTAGTGTCAAGTGGTCCTGTGAAGAGCAGGGAGTTGGACTCAGTGATCCTCATGGGTGCCTTCCAACTTGAGATATCCTGTGATTCTGATCAAATTATGGGACTGCAGCCAGTTCTACCTTTGCTTCCACAGGCAGCAAAATCCCAAGGAGAAGCCTCAGCTGATGGATTGCCCCTTTGGCTTTGTCCCTTTCCCAGAACTGTGGCAGGGGGGTGGGCTGCTGGGATTCCCTGGTTGTCAGCAGAACTCCCAGCAGAAAGGAGTAGGCTGCCAGTGATATGTGCTGCAACCTTTCTGATTTTGTGTTCTCAAACTGTTCTGGTAGTGCCTAAGGTAGAGAAACATGGCCCTTGCCTTGGAGATTGATTCGAGCCAAGTGTTTCCAGTGTCCTCCCCAAGCTTCACTTCAGGCTCTGTGATTGTGCCAGTGCGTTGCCTCAGCCTCCCTTCCCAGAACCTTCTTCCTGTCACCTTTCAGTGGCTTCTGGTAACCCCTCTGCTTTCAGGGGCCATTCCCAGCTAAATAATCTTCTGAATAACAACTTCTGTGTCCTGCTCATTATGAAATGAAAATAAGGTGCAGCTAAAACATGGTTTGGCTGTTGTTATTTGTAAATGTTATTTGTAAATTTGTAAAGGTTCTGGTAGACCTTGTATTATCAAGAGTTTAATGTATCTGGAAAGATGCTGGAGAATTTCTCTTCCATTACAAAGGATAAGTCACCTCAGGGTATTCAAATCAGGAAAATGCTGTGAAATGTAACTGGCAGAACAATGCCCAGAATAATTTTCAATTTTTATTCCTATTAATTCATTTGATAATTGATATTGCAGTTTAGAAAGTTATAATCTTCCAACTGTAACAAAGGTGTGGTAGTGGATTCTACTGTCACAAGGCTGATATAACTCAGGTGTAGCTTGAGCAGTTGAAATCGAAATAGTGTGTTAATTATAACTTCTGGTTTTTCCCCCTCTTCTTTTTAACCAAACTATGTGAGCCTGAAGATGCTTTCACTATTGTGTCATGGTTGTTTTTAATTGTGGCAAATATTTGTGCTTTCTATTGGCTTTGTGAAGTCACAAGGCAGCAAAATAGTCCTTACCAGCTATCCAAATTTTGAATCACTTTCCAGTGATTTCATATCTTCTGGGTTCTGTCAGATTTCTCTTTAATCTTTGTGCATGACACTGCAATGTTTGCACTACAAGTCTGCAAAACAAATGTTTTTGTTTTAAAAACCCAGTTATTTTGTTTTGTATTTATGTTTATATTCTTTACTTGAATTTGCAATTACATGTTTGCATTATGTGTTTCTAAATCAACAGCTTACCTAAATTCCAACCAGGTTACTTCAAAGTTCCTCTATAAATCCATATCCATTGAAGATCTGGTCTTTATCAGATTATAACAAATTTATCTTCCCATCTTCAGAGATGGATTCTCTGCTGCCTTCTCTTTATGGGTCTGTGCAAAGCATCTGTGCAGTTCTCTGCCATCAGCTCTCAATTATCCAGAACCCATGAGGGCAGAAAAATGTCATTTTGGTAGTACTTCTAGTTTTTGTATCTTTAAGGTCTATTTGAATTTCTCCTTTAAAATATGAGGACTAGAAGTCTTTGCTCCAGGAGGTGGGGCTGTAAATAGAAAATTCGACAGCATGCTGGGAAGAACCATGAGAAAGCTCTGTGATACAGCCATACTGAACACTGTCAGGTCAAATGAGTGTAAATACAACTCCTTGGAAGTGACAGAAGAACAGTGTGGATCACAGTCTGCAGTTTGGATTCCAAAGCATCCAATGAACTTTAAAGGAGAAATGACACACGCAAGCATTTTCAGGACCGTGGGTTTTCAGTCCTTCTCACTGGAACTGATGGTGCTGTTTGCTTTGCTGGCCACACATTTGGATCACCGGTGGGCTGCTGAGAAACTGCCACACATCCTGGAAACTTTAGGATCTGTGTTTTCCCTGGGAGATGACATTTGGACATCGCAGTTCCCAGTGTTGAACAGTCTGCACCAGGAACTGTCAGAAGGAGCTGTCAGGAGTGAACTGATGTCTGTGACTGTCCACACGGCAGCGTTGCACGAGAAGG